AGAAAGGCTAGTGAAAGATGCTCACCAATACCCAGGAGGAATGACCTTGTCCACTTGGTTATTGACAGAATCCTGGGCAGTGGATGTCATCTGGAGTACACGTGCATAAGACATGCCTATGTATGAGATATACATCTCCCCCAAAAGTCCTCACCACAAATTCTCTAATATTAAACTTTGTGTCTTTCCAGTTGATTTGCCTTTTAGCCACTGCTCACGGATCTCTGAGGACCTATACCACCAGCCATGTCCCATTCCATAGAAAGTGGAAGACCAGACGTACCACCTGAAATTCTTTCCTCTGAGAGAATTCTGTATCAGTGACTTTCATGGCCACAAGTGGAGTTGTTATACTGTGGCCAGCATATAGTAGACCCTTCTCTAAACCAGACTATATTGATAGCATGTTGTGTGGATCCTTCTGTAAATCAGTTTATTTCTTTTCTTCTATTTAAGTGATCATAGGGAACCCTCCATGAGGCCATAGTTGTTTGTTGGTGGGTGAGTGGAAAAGCAGGAGGAGCATATACCATGGGATTCTGATCTACCTCAATTGGTTTACTTCTAGGGCATTCTGTATACCATTTCCACTTTCCAGTGGAAGATGCTGTTCGTGTATGGTCAACTTTATAACTGGGTGAATCTGATAACACAGTTCACTATGGGCACTTTTAGCGACATGGTCATTTGGAGGGTCATTGGCAGGTGTTCACTTTCTACTAGAAGATGAGAACATTTGTTGGTAGAAAAGAGCAAGCACTTACTCCAATACCAAAAGCATCTGTGGTGTTACTCTCTAGTGGAGTGTGATAGAGGCTCCATAGAACATCTCTCTTCTCTAGATATTCCCAATACTCTTGGGCCTGCTGAGTCAAGTGGCTCAAGTGGAAGGAAAGTATGTATATGGTTGAAGTGCCTTTGTTTCACTAAAAACTGGCAGCTTTAATGTTTACTCAATAAATGGGTCAGAGCAGCATATAGCGGTGTGTCTGTTTCTTTAGCAGTGTGGGTTAGAAACAATGTGAACTAATAGTGTCTTACTTTATAGAGGGAATCTGAACATTCCTGATTGTATCAGTCAAGGTCCAGTCAGGAGACAAAAACAGGCAAATTTTAATATAACCAAGTCTTGTCTGATAACAAGATATTACTACTAGGAGAACTGTATGAAGAATACAGGAACAGCAGATGTAGGAAGTAGTCCATCTCTAAGGTGGAAGCAGATCACCCAAGAAACAAATCTGAATGAATGTTCCAGCCGAGGTTGAGATTCAGACTTTGTTGAAGAGGGCGTAGATGTGGCAGACAAGCTTACTGTGGTGCTGCAAACCTGGTTTGGCAAGCAGGAGGTTACCCACCAAGTTTCAGGCAAGATTCATTGGGAGCCACTTACTTCAGTTTTGTTAATATTTACTGGATGTTCCAGCCACCCAGAGAGGTTCTGGCAAAACTCACTGGTCAGTACCACCGGGTGGTCTGCTCACTGCTCCCCCTACATGCTACAGGAACAAGCATGAAAAAGCACATGGGAACCATAAAACTAAGTCCCTTACTTCATCATCTCTCCAGTTACCTCCACCAAAAATACTTAACATGGTGCCAGCTGGCAAAGAAGAAATATGTATAGAGTCCAGCTTTAGTATGCAAAGAAGGATTTGAAGCTGAGGATTTAGAACTGAGAAGCAAAACACTAAGACCTAGGGGAGCTGACCTCCTGTATGCTCAGCTCCTCTATGCAACCCTCTCTCCATATTTGAACTCCCTAGATTTCCACCTAACAAGATAAAATATCCCTCATACAAATAGACTTTCTCTCAAATTGAGAGACTCATGTCTTAATAGTTACTGTATCTATCTCTGGTTACATTATTTAGTTCCAAATCAGACTCCAGACTTAATCTTCAGTCACGGCGTCCTATATATACAGGAAATAAGTACTTTCTTTAGAGACATCATAAAGGCTTTCTAAATTTCTGTCTGGGCCTGGTGTTTATCATTCAGGGATTTCAATTTATCCTTTCCTTTATACGCCCTTTCTAGGATACAAAATACCATCATGTGCCACAATCTTTTTCATCAAACTGACTGGCTGAGCCACTTGACCTCCCTATGCTTATTCTCCTCCACATGCACCCCATTCTATGCCACCACTCAGGATATTCTGAGTAATCATGATGTTGCCATATGCTGCATTCCACCGGTGTCCCATGTCCCTCTGATAGGAGATTATTCATATACTCTTCAAATATATGAGCAGCTCACGCCTAGGATGCCATTTTAAGTCCATTTGCTGGGGCGAGGGCCAAGAGGAACCTGGTGACACAGACTATCTAATTTGAGAAGTATTTAGTAAAAGGACTTTTTACAAGGAGAGGTCACTGTTTAAAGAAATCAAAATTAAAAAGTAAATCAGCCCTGGCCAGTTTGGCTCAGTGGTTGAGCATTGGCCTGTGGACCAGAGTCCGGGGTTCGGTTCCTGCTAGGTGCACATACCACAAAAAAAAAAAAAAAGGTAAATCACCTTAAACCTAGCTACAAAAGAAATGCATTACTACCCATAAGCTGAAGTAAAGAGATGGAAGGAGCCCAGAACTCAGAGTTGTAGAGGATGCAGGATGCCCTACAGAGATGTGGTCTTAGGCAGACGAATGTCGTCACTGACAGCAACAGACCGACTCAGATCAGAGAAGCAGGGAAAATAAATACCACAATTTTTTACTTTCTGTCAGACCTCAGATTTCCTTCTGATGTTTTCCACTGGCCATCGCTACTGGAGGGCATTATGTACTCGCTGATGCAGTGCACAAAGGCCACCCTCCAAGGGCACAAAGCAGAGATGGGTAAGGGTGGAACGTAGACCTAAAGAGGCAAATGAAGATTATCCAGCAAAAGCCATTTGTTTTACATTTCAATATATTTTTTGTTGGTTTGCTAATATTTATTTAGCATTTTTGCATCTATATTCATTGTAAAAATGGCCTATCATTATTTTTCTTGCACTATCCTTGCAAACTTTTGCTATGAAGGATATGCTGGGCTCATGAGTTATGGAGTATTCACATTTTTTCTATTCCTTCTTAGAAGAATAGCTACAGAATTGGAATTATTTATTCCTTCAGTGCCCCAAAATGACACAATTTGACTTGCATTGAGTTGGGCAAAGCATGTTACATAATCCTGCCTCACTTCATGAGGGTGGTGAACAGTGCCCGAGCACCCAGTGTTCCTGCAAGGAGAAGAGAAGCAGCATTTTCTACCTCTTAATTCATCTTTTCTTCACTTCTGAAGTTATCTGTGTTAAGAAATGTGAAGGGTCTGGGATGTTATGCTAATTGCAAGCTAGCGAGTTAGCTTGTTACAATTTCATAGATGATAGAAGATATGAGACTCCTGGGTTGGAGATAAAGCACAATTTATTGTTCACAGAAATATCAGCAGTCAGAATATCAGCATCTTGTCCTAATTTCTTCAGCATGACACAAAGTCCAGGTCATACATGCCCACAGTGAGTTGCATTACAGGACAGGAATCTTTTATAGTGAATAGTAAACACTATATCTTCCAAGACTGTTTGCTATACAAACACCCTTGAAAATGATTCTCAAACAAGATCTAGTGCCTCTGCTCAAAAAACATGCAGAAACATAACTGATTTTTTTTTACCAGCTTTTGTACCTAACATAGATTATTCATTTTATTGTGAATTATAATTTATCAAGATAAAGTAATTCCCTTTGCTCTGCTATTTTTCTTCCCAGTTTCATCCTTGATATTATTGCCATTATTTTTCTGTTGTCTGTTTGCATATAACTGATATTTTTTAACCTTTATATGTCATTTATTTGGGGTATATATCAGGTACACAGTACATATTCCACTGTTTTGATACAATATAGAATAACTATCCTTTGCTAGAGAATTGTAACCTATTTAAATTATGCACTATGATATTTTAAATCTTGTTTTTCTCTTATATGTAATTCCTTGCTGTTAACCTTAAATACACACATACATAATTATGGTGCATGTGTGTGAAATATTACTACTGGAATTATAGATCTTCACGTTTTATTTTTCTCTCTAGCTCAATTATCTTCTGTTTAGCCATCCGAATCCATTCTCCCCACTACATACTCTGCTCTTTATCCCGAAGCTGTATACATTACGTCAAAAGACTTCTATTCCTTCTGCTTTTTTTTGTGGTGGGGTGGGGTTTCTGTCAATGGAAAACTCAAGCAGAAAACTGGAGGAAGAGAGAAGTGTGAAATCAGAGTATTTATTTCTCTAGTTCATGAGATGACCTAGGGCTAACTCTTCCCTTGAATTTTTGTCACTGATCTTTTCAATTATCTTCTTTACATTCTCTTTCTGGGTTTCCAGAACTCTCCCTCCTCAGGTTCATCTGGGACAAGGAGTAGGAGAACCTTATCTGATATTGGCCCTGGGTTCCTACTCTATTCCTTTAGTTTCCCTACACACTGCCCCACTTTGTAAGTACCTTTGTAAATAAACTCTCCTTGAATTTTGAATGTGCCATCTATTTCCTGTTATGACTAACTCATAAACCCTTGTTCATCATCGTAGGTCCTTGGCATGTATATGGTCAAGGTTATTCCTTTGGTTTATTGGAGAAAGGGATTGTTATAGTTTTGTTTCGTTTTTTAAATCAAGTTTATTCTTCCTACAGAGTTTGCATTATTGCCCCACAAGGAGTTTTTCTCCCATATGATAAAGACAGCTCCACTGTTTACCCTGTTTTCCAAAACGGAATGCACCTTTTGCGTGTTAGTTTATAAATAGTTTCATTTGTTTTATTGGAATTTTAAGAAAGATGGAAGGTAAAAGTAAAGATAAAAAGTGAAAATTAAAATCCCTATATTAAAATATAGTGTATTTTATATTACCTATAAAGATTTTCAAGAAAGGCAATTCTATAATGTTTTCTCCCACCCAAATACTGATTATTCTTCTATAACTACATATTATCTAAAATAAATGGGTTGAAAGTTAAGCCTAGCTTTTCTCTATTCCTTTTAACTATAATGCACCTGAAATTTTTGAAACTTTTAATGCAAAAATATGTAAAATGTTCTCTTTACTTTAAAATATTAATTTTAGTAACAAAATTATATTCCAATTCAACATTAATTGTCTAACAATAAAACATGTATATAGCAATGTTTTCTCTTTATACAATTTATGATACTATGAAAACCCAGTAAGATCAATTTAACAAATTCTGTTTTCATATTGTGTGACCTCTGTTTTACTTGATTAGCAATGAACAAAAACGCTGATCATCAAACAAATACTCCTGGGTCTTCTAAGGATTCGGACTCTGGGATTCTATAATCTTAGGTCCTGTTTCTGGTTCATATTTCTTTCTAATCTCATCTATTTCAGCATCATCATATATAAATGAAGCCAGGACTGGAATTTGAGAAAAATAGTTCTTAGCCAGGATATGTTTGTGTTTGATCTTGTGAATAAACAGGTGTTCATATCCCTGAAAAGAAAAAAAAAACAAATTATATTAAATGTCACAGATACATTTTTCCAAGTAAAAACACTTTCATGCCTCAGTGCCTTTGCTTATCAGTTCTTTCAGCCCAGGATACACTTTTCCCCACTGTGTCTATCATCTTTCAGGGCTCAGCTCCTTTGATGCTTTAACCCACATGCCTCCTGATCTCTGAGTCCAAACATATCCCTCCTGCCTCTACTTGCAAACACTTTTATGTATTCTAATTGCAATATGCAGATCATTTTGCCTTGAATTTCACTGTTTTCTTGAGAGTCTCTCCATGATAAAGAAATGTGAAGGCCCAGACTGGGTCTTTTTCCTAGCTGTGTCTCTCAGCTCCCGAAGGCAAACACTTAACAGATATTTTTAATAAATGCACTTATGTCACCTTCGTTCTCACCTTAGGTTGCTTTCAACATTGATACAATTACCTACTTGGATTTTTTTTCCTAAGCTTGGTCCTTCCCATATCTCCAGAGTTCAAAATAAAGGTCACACTGGTGTTATGACAATGTGAACTTCTCTTTGGTCACCCCTTTTTCTGCCTCAGATTCCCCCCTTTGAATCCCTGCGCTCTCCTGGCTTCTAAACAGAAAACAGCGTTCTGCCCTATCAAATCTTTGAGCTTTTCCTTTTTTATTTGTTCTTAATCATTAGGCTTCTTATCTCTCCAGAGCTACAATAGCACTTCAAACTTTCTCTGTTATGTAGCATTGCCACATGACTGTAAGATGATCTATTTTTGTTCTTTTTGATCTGCACCCTAAAACACTTCCATTTATCTTCAGATAGAGTAGGAGAGAAAGAGAAAAACATCGATATTAGAGAGACACGTCGATTGGCTGCCTCCCTCATAACCCCAATCAGGGCTGGGGACCCAACAGCAACCGAGGCACATGCCCTTGACTGGCATCAAACCTGCGACTCTCTGGTCCACGGGCCAACACTCTTAAGTCCTGAGCCAAACCAGCCAGGGCGGATGGCCTGTTTCCTAATGAGAGTGGCAGACTACAGGCTCCAGAACAAGGAATGGCATCTCTGTTCCATTTGTATTTAGAGGCCTGGTTTTGTACAGTGACCTGATTTTGTGACATGCTCAGCTTTCCTAGCATTTATTCTTGCTAGGTGGCCATGTGACAAGTTTCTGGCCATTATACAAATACATATAATGAAAGCCATTGGATAGTGCTTACAGGAAAGCTTTTTAAGAGTAGAAAGGTTCATTTGTCAAGCACATTTTAGGCTTTTGCCATAACTGGGAAGTAGATATAATGCAGGAGATGAAGTAGCTATTTTATCTCTAAGAGTTCACAGGCATGAAAATGAAAGCTACAGGTTACAGTGGCTGAGGAAAACCTGGAGGACCTGGGTTTGTGAGAGCATAGCAGAACCACCAAACCAGCCCCAGACTGCCAACTTCTGTACTTCCTGTTACATAAGAAAACTAATCCCACATCTGATTACACCATTATAACTGCTTAGTCTATTATTGGCAGCTGAACTGAAATGCAACTCAAACAATGAAGAATTGTGTTTCTCTAAGCATTTAGCACAGTATCTAAAAATTCAAAACTAAATTCTGATTGAAGTAATAGACACCACTATTCTTTTAATTAATATTAATTAACTGTTTCTTTTCAACCAAACAATGACTAGTACCTGTACCTTCTCCTAAAACTGGTTTTCTGAGAGTAAGACATCCCCTCACTAAAGGTCCCTCCACAGTGTCAATCAAAAATAAAGAAAGCCCTGGAGAACAGGAGCCAAAGAATATGATATTCTTGCAGGAAGTACTAGGTAGGAGTTTCCTGGGCTTGTTTTAAAGTTTCCTCTCCACAGACTAATTTAAGAGGTCAAAACAGTCATCCTTTACATTAATCTAACTTTGTCCCATCACTTCTTAGTCCATATTTATTCAAGAAAAATTAAGAAATTTTTGTTATGCAGCATGAAATTATACATATACAGGATTAATAGGTTTTCAAGGTGCCTTTATAGACCCAAAAAGTAATCCTTAAAGATGAAATAATCATATTATGGGACATAGAATTAAAGAAATAATAAGCAACTCTTAAAGAGTAATATAAAAAGAAAGCCAATATCTGCCATTACCCTTGTATATCATTCCCTTTTCATCATGAGAAAGCCAGAGCACCAAAACATGAACAACCTTGCACAACTCCCAGCTCGTTAGTGACAGAGCCAGAATTCAAAGCCAGGGCTGCTCTGATCCTCTGTACTGATTCCGTGTTTCTAGGTAATCTTTATAAAAATATATGAAGCAAAGGGGGGAGGCCTTAAAAGCATTCATGTTGGTAGTGATGGGAACAGGGAAATACTGGGTCAGGTCTGCTGACTTTAAAACCACTGCTGTTCCTGCTTTGGCCACTGTGCATACCGTGAGAAATAGAGCTGAGTCCTTTACAGTTGAGAGAACGGAAGTCTTTTTCCATGCTTTTCCTAAACCTTGTGTCATGATTACAGGGAGTCAAGATTATTTTAATTTATGAGTATTTTTTAATTTACTGAGAAAGCAAATATCAGTGCATTAAGGAAATTCTGGAAATGCTTTAACCTGCTGCAAGATAAATTATTCTTTAACTAGGTTGAATATTAAAACTTAAAAGATTAAATCAGGCTGAATATTAATACCTTAAAAGATTACACCAGCCCAAAACCATAAAGAAGGCAATTTTTTTTCCAATTTTGTCTGGTTGAGAACCTTAGTTCTATTTACAGAAATTCAATAAGCTCAGCATCCTGAATGTGGATAAAACATTTACTCTGATACTGTAATAATTTGATTAAATACACAAAGGGAGTTGTATGGATTAATTGAAGAAGCAATGGAATATCAGCATTAGAAATGAACTTCAATTCCACTATGGGTGCTAGATTAAATGTTTTTGCTAGTATTGGCAAAATACTACTTGCAGTGATTAAATATTTATGAGGCAGCTTACTTTACTAAATATAATATATAACACAGTTTCAATTTCTTGCTGCTCTTTCTTTCAATACCTAAAGTAAAATTTATTTTAGCCTGGCTTCTACTGGAGAATTACTCCAAAAAAGCTAAAAATATAACTAGTTTCTCTTTATACCTTCCCTCTCCCTAATAAAAATACAGGCATGGAGTAGCACTATTCAAGTGACTGTTATATTTGAAGTCATTCCTTTATTTTCTCTTAGCTGATATCTTACATAGAATTAAATACATCAGTTTAATCAACAGAAGGCAGAGAGTCAGCATCAGCAGTAGGAATCCTAGGCTTGCTTAGTGTAAATGGAGCTTCCTGGAATTCATCAGGGACTCCTCAACTGCATTCATCAAAATGCTTTAGAGACACATCTTGTAAGTTACTGAAATTAAATGATATTTAATTTATAAAGTGCTTTCCCCACTCCTAGTTAGTTCGAAGCAAACAAACAAACAAACAAACAAAAAATGGATCCTTAACACTATACCCCATGAGTATGATTTCCATTTAGAGCACAAATAATAAACAACACTTACTTGAGAATTTAGTGTGCTTTTAGGTAGACTTGGGATGATTAATCAAAGGACAGATTTAAAATTCTATAATACCTATCTAGTGGTAATATTCATTTATTCATTCAACAAATACTTATTAAACTCCTAATCTATGACAGGCACTACTGCAGGTATTAGAGAATATAGACACAAATCAGCTAAACAAAATCTCTGTCCTTGTGGAACTTACTATAGAACTAATATGCTTGAACGTGCTATTATTAGATGGGAGCAGTATCATGTTTGAGTACTTGCACAGACCTTCAGATAGATCTTTTATTCTCACCTTTTATGTGCCTTAGTTTCTTTTCAATTTTAATCTGTCATACGTACCATCCACACATTTTGTTACTGTTATCCATGGGTTCTCTGTTTCTTAATTCAATGGAAATATTTAAATCATGCATGGAATGTTTTACTGCAGTCAAGTTATCTCTAATAACTCCAATGGTTACATTAATATCCCCCATTTCTTACCTCTTCAATACTTGTTAGCTTGAGATGAGCAGCGCCTTCATTTTTGGTAAGAAGAATGCAGTTCCAGGGGGACCACTCCAAGGACTTGTCCCACCTGACCATGACCAGATCATTGAGGTCATTACAGGCACTGAGTGCTGACTGGGACGCCCAGATGTTCTCCGTCAGGTACTGAATATCTTGCAGCTGCATGTCAAAATAAGTTTGAAAAATGTTTTCTGATAAACATAAAAGTTATTTAAGATTATTATATTACTTAAGAAAATAATTGTTATATTGAATATATTTTTTCAAAGAGAAATACTATTGGTGAGGTTGTCAGTGGCACGTTGCTCCTTATTTTTCACCAAGTATCTGTGCATTCTGAACAAATTATGTTATCAGCCTCACATTCATGACTGCATCTTTGACCCAGAGTAAGCTTATATTCTTCTTCCAGTATGCTCATTATACCTTACATTTATATAGTATTAAGTACTTTTCAAAATGTATTAAAAAATACCTTCTTATCCTCAGGGTTACCTCATTTTATTCCAATTTTACAAATGATAAAATTAATTTTTTAAAAAGCAATATGTTTAGTGTTATTAAAAAAGACTTTTTATTTTAATTTAAAAAAAGAGGAAGGGGAAATGAAATAACTGTTTAAAAACATTTTTTATTTAAACCATATTAGCTAAAACTCTTGAAACAAAAAGTCTACATATAGTCCGACCAGTGTAGCTCAGTGATTGAGCATCAACCCATGCACCAAGAGGTCACGCGTTCGATTCCTGGTCAGGGCACATGCCCAGGTTATGGGCCCAGTCCCCAGTGGGGGGCATGCAGGAGGCAGCCAATTGATGTTCTCTCTCATCGATGTTTCTCTCTCTCCTTCTCACTTCCTCTCCCTCTAAAATCAATAAAGGAAAAAAAATTAAACAAACAAACAAAAAAGTCTGCATATGTAAACTTAGAATTGCCAGAAGAGCAAGCTTCACTAAGTATAGGCATAGGGGAGAAATCCATTTTTTTTAAAAAGTGTGGATGCGAAAGCAGGAATCTTTTCTGTAAAATTTCATCCATGATTGGCAACTCCCACTGATAATACCTGCATCAGGAAAGCAATTGTAGAGTCATCTTCATAATCAGCTTCTGAATAGTAGAGCCGCTGAAGTAAACATTTGTACTTCAAAAATGATTCTCGTTGTCGAGTCTCGTTGTCAAGGTTAATGCAGTTACGACATCGGTATATGCGGTGTGAGGTGGATGATATAGCAAACTCTGTAGATGGCAAATAGAGCTGGCAACAGTGGCAAAAGTAAATCTTCTTATAAAATTTCAATGGGTCTTGAGGAACCTAAATAGTAAAAATATATACAGGCCAAATTTTATCCAACAGAAGCATTGAGGGCTAACATCTTAGAATGAGATAAAAAGTTGGTTAATTTTTAAAGTCATACATTCCCTTTAACCCTGTTCTATACAAAATTTAAACTTCAAGCAGTATTCATTTACCCTGACAAAATATTAAAAATCTGTATCATTCATTAACCCTTAGATATATGCAGTAAAATCACATAGAAAATTAATTGACTGAAAATAAAAATCAGTAGGTAAAGATTTTTTGTTTCAAAATAGTAAGAAAACCATCCAAGTGCTGTGGCACTTATTTTAAGAAGAATTTAGATTTTTGGTGTCATGTTACATTAATTAATCTTAGAGGCAACAGATAGATTAACATAAATAAAAGTCCACTAAACCAAGTGTTCTTACTAATTTATCTTAACAATAAATTTGGATTGGCTAAATGCTCAATTTTCAAAATTTGAAACTCTGTATCATATGTTAGTAATAATTTTATTTGAGGAAACTCCATACTGTTTTCCATATGGCTGTACCAATTTACATGTCCACCAACAGTACACAATAATTCCCTTTTCTCTACAACCTTGTCATCACTTATCTTTTGTTTTTATCTCTCTGCAGTTTTGATTTGCATTTCCCTGATGATTGAGCACTTTTCACGTGCATATTGGCCATTTCTCTATTCTTTGGGAAAATTTATTTTAAAATCCTTTGCTCATTTTTAAAGTGGGTTAAAGTTGTTTTGCTATTGAGTTGTAAGATATCCCTTCCAGGGCGGGGGGGGGGGGGGGCAGGGTATTAATGATTTGCAAATATTTTTTCCCATTTTGTAGGATGCCTTTCATTTTGATTGTTTCTTTTGCTATGCTTTTTAGTATGATGCAATCTCATTTATCTAATTTTGCTTTTGTTGCCCTTGCTTTTGGTGCCACGACTAAAAAATCATTGTCAAACTTTTGTCAAAAAAACATCTTCCCTGTTTCCTTTTGGTAGATTTACAGTTTCAGGTCCTATATTTAAGTTATTAATCCATTGTGAGTTGATTTTTGTATGTGGTGTGAGATAAGGGTCTAATTTCATTTTTTTTAAGCATGTGATTACCTAGTTGTCTCATCATCATTTATTAAAGACACTATCCTTTCTCCATTGTGTGTTATTGGCTACTTTGTGAAATATTAGGTGACTTTATATGTGTGGGTTTATTCCAGGCTCTCTAGTCTGTTCCATTGATACATATGTCTCTTTTTAAGGCAACACCATACTACTTGAATCATCATAGCTTTGAAATACAGTTTGAATTCAGAAAGCATGATGCCTCCAACATTGTTTTTTTTTCTCAAGATTGTTTGGGCTAAGGATCTTTTCTGTGAAAAAATGCCTTTGAAATTTAGATAGGGATTGCACTAAATCTGTAGGTAAATTTGGGTGTTATGGACATTTCCACAATATTAATTCATCTAAAAATATTTATTAAGGAAAAAACAAACACAAAAAGTATGATCCATTTTAAAAATGTATAAATTCAGACTTCCGGTCAAGATGGCGGGTAGGTAAACGCAGTATCGCGTCCTCCCACAACCACATCAAAGTGACAACTAAACTACAGAACAACCATCATTCAAAACCGCCTGAAATCAAGCTGAATGGAAGTCCTACAACTACGAAATTAAATCAGCAGCCACATCCAGACTGGTAGGAGGGGCGGCGGCGCGGCGGCTTGGTCCCACACCCACGTGTGGCGGATAAAAATCAGGAGGCTCCCGCGGCTGGGAAGGTCCTTCCTGAGGACTGAGGGGTCCCCGTCCCACACCAGGTGCCCCGCTCAGGGTTCCAGTGCCAGGAAGAGAAGTCCCCATAACTTCTGGCTGGAAAAACCAGCAGAAACTGAGGCTCAGAGAGGCGGCTGGAGCCCCAGGCAGCTCCCTAAAGAGCCTGCACACGGACTTATCGAACTCTCTCCCTCTGAGCTCGGAGGGGAGGCAGCTCGAGGGGCACCAGAGCCATACAGGGAAGAACTGAGCTGTTTGGCACTGGAGCGAGGGCTGAAGAGGGGGCTTCCTCGGGGACAAACGTGCTGTAAGAGGCCTTTGTTCCTTTGGTGAGCCCTTCCCAGGAGTGGCAGACAAAAGCTATATCTGGGACTCCAGCAACCTGGCTCACACTGGTAGCCCCGCCCTGCTGACTCCCTGAGGCCCCGCCCTGCCCCACACAACTTTCAAGCCCACCCAAGCTGTTGCCACTTGCTTAACCATAGGATTGGCCTGTCCTGGATCCTGCTTCAGGTTTTTCCTACATTCTTTCAAACGAGCAGCATCTGGTCTCAGCGAGCCCCATACCTCTCATTAAGTAATACACAGAAACAAACACAGGAAGGCAGCCAAAATGAGGATACAAAGAAACAGGTCCCAAATGAAAGAACAGAACAACACCCCAATAAAAGAACTAAGCGAAAGGGAGATAAGCAACCTAACAGACACTGAGTTCAAAATACTGCTTATAAGGATGCTCAATGAACTTAGTGAGAACTTCAGTGAACTTAGGGAGGGCCTCAAGAGCATAAAAAAGGACCAGTTAGAAATCATGGATACACAGTTAGAATTGAAGGAGGCATTAACTGAAATAAAGAATAATTTACACAGCTTCAATAATAGAGTATGTAAATCCAAGGAGCAAACCATCGATTTGGAATATAAGGAAGCAAAAAATCCCCAATCAGAACAGCAAAAAGAAAAAAGAATCCAAAAAAATGAGGATAGTGTAAGGAGCCCCTGGGACAACTTCAAGCATGCCAACATTCGCATCTTGGGGGTGCCAGAAGGAGAAGAGCGAGAACAAGAAATTGAAAACCTGTTTGAAGCAATAATGGCAGAAAACTTTCCTAACTTGGTGAAGGAAACAGACATACAAGTCCAGGAAGCACAGAGAGTTCCAAATAAGATGAATCCCAAGAGGCCCACACCAAGACACATCATCATCAAAATGTAAAAGGTTCAAGACAAAGAGAGAATCCTAAAAGCAGCAAGAGAAAGGCAGCTAGTTACCTACAAGGGAGTACCCATTAGGCTGTCAGCTGATTTCTCAAAAGAAACTTTGCAGGCCAGAAGGGAGTGGCAAGAAATATTCAGAGTGATGAAAACCAAGAACCTACATCCAAAATTACTCTATCCTGCAAAGCTGTCATTTAGAATCGATGGACATATAAAAACTTTCCCAGACAAGAAAAAGTTAAAGGAGTTCATCACTACCAAACCGTTATTATATGAAATGATGAAGGGTCTTTTTGAAGAAAAAGATAAAATGTATGAACAAACAAATGGCAATGAGTACATATCTATCAACAATGGAATCTACAAACAAAATGAACAGGAAGAACAGAAACATTCTCATAGATACAGAGAACACTTTGTTGGTTGCCAGTTGGGAAGGGGGTTTGGGGAATGGGTGAAAAAGGTGAAGGGATTAAGAAGCACAAATTCATTGCTAGACTGACAAACCTCAAAGGGAAAGGGGTTGGGGGGGTGGGAAGAAATAAACCAAAGAACTTATTTGCATAACCAATGGACACAGACAATAGTGTGGGAAAAGGTGGGAGGGGGGCGGGAGTGGGGAGGAGGGGGTCAATGGGGGAAAAATGTGGAACATCTGTAACACATTTTACATCCAACAATAAAGATTTAAAAAAATAAATAAATAAATAAATAAAAATTAATCACATAATATACCAAAAAAAAAGAAAAAAAGAAAGAAAGAAAGAAAGAAAAACCCAGAGCAAGTAGAAGAAAAGAAATAGTAAAGATCAGAGCAGAAATAAATGACATAGAGACTAAAAAACAATTCAAAGATCAATTAAACAAAGAGCTGGATCTTTGAAAAGATAAACAAGATTGATGAACCCTGAGTCAGACTCACCAAGAAACAGAGAGAGATGATCCAAATAATCAAAATCAGAAACGATACAGAAGTAACAACTGACACCACAGAAATACAAAAGATCGTTAACAACTACTATCAACAATTATATGGCAACAAATTCGACAATCTAGGCAAAATGGACAAATTTCTAGAAACACACAGTCACCCAAAACTGAAAAGGGAAGAGACAGAAAACTTGAACAGACCAATGACAACTAAAAAAACTGAAGATGTAATCAAGACTCTCCCAGCAAACAAAAGCCTGAGCCTGGACAGCTTCACTGGGGAGTTTTACCAAACATCGAAGAAGAACTAACACCCATTCTCTTCAAACTATTCCTAAACATTCAAAAAGGAAGACTTCCAAACTCGTTTTGTGAGGCCAGCATAATTCTAATTCCAAAACTAGATAAAGACACTACAAAGAAAGAAAAGTACAGGCCAATAACCGTGATAAACATAGATGCCAAAATCCTGAACAAAATATTAGCAAATAAGATCCAGCAATATATTAAAAAATTATTCACCATGACCAAGTGGGATTCACCCCAGGGATGCAAGGCTGGTACAATATTCGCAAATCAATAAATGTGATACACCACATAAACAAAATGAAAGATAAAAACCATGTGATCATATCAATAGATGCTGACAAAGCATTCAACAAAATCCAGCACCCATTTCTGATGAAAATGCTCAGCAATGTGGAAATAGAGGCATCATATTTTGACATAATAAAGGTCATATATGAAAAACCTACAGCCAACATCATACTCAATGGGCAAAAATTAAAAGCATTTCCCTTAAGAATAGGAACAAGACAGGGATGCCCACTTTCGCCACTCTTATTTAACATAGTACTGGAAGTCTTAGCCACAGCCATCAGACAGGAAGAAAAAATAAAAGGGATCCATACTGGAAAGGAGAAAGTGAAACTGTCATTATTCGCAGATGACATGATACTATACATAGAAAACCCCAAAGACTCCATCAAAAATCTACCAGACTTAATAAATGAATTGGGCAAGGCAGCAGGATACAAAATTAAAATCAAGAAATCAATGGCATTCTTATAAACCAGTAATGATCTCACAGAAAGAAAAACTAAAAAAAAATCCCATTTACCATGGTGGCAAAAAAATTAAGATACCTAGGAATAAACTTACCCAAAGAAGTAAAAGACCTGTTTGCAGAAAACTACAGGATATTGAAAAAAGAAATAGAGGAAGATATTAAAAAGTGGAAGCATAAACCTTGTTTATGGATTGGAAGAATTAATATCATTAAAATGTCCATACTACCCAAAGCAATCTATAGATTCAATGCAATCCCCATCAAAATACCAATGATATATTTCACAGAACTAGAATAAATACTTCAAGAGTTTATCTGGGACCAAAAAGAACCCCAAATAACCACAGCAATCTTGAAAAAGAAGAACAAAGTAGGAGGAATCACAATACCAGATATCAGGTTTTACTACAAAGCCACTGTAATCAAAACATCCTGGTACTGGCACAAGAAAAAGCCAGAGAACCCGGAAATTGATCCAAGACATTATGCTCAATTAATATTTGACAAGGTTGGCACGAGAATACAATAGAGTAACGACAGCCTCCTTAATAAATGGTGTTGGAAAAATTGGACAGCTACATGCAGAAAAATGAAACTAGACCACCAACTTACACCATACACAAGATAAACTCAAAATGGATAAAAGACTTAAATGTGACTCGTGAATCCATAAAAATTCTAGAAGGAAATGCAGGTAACAAAATTTCAGACATAACACACAGCAGAATTTTCAGTGATACAACGCCTAAGGTAAGAGAAAAAAGGAAAAAAAATAAACACATGGGACTACATCAAACTAAAAAGTTCTGCACAGTAAAAAATAAACAAGCATCAAAATGGAAGGGCAACCCACTCTATGGGAGAACATAATTGCCAATGATACATCAGATAAGGGGTTAATTTCCAAAATATATAGAGTACTCATACAACTCAACAAAAGGAACATAAAGAACCCAATTAAAAAATAGGCAGAGGACCTAAATAGACACCTCTCCAGAAAGGACATACAAGTGGCCAAGAGATATATGAAAAAATGCTCAACATCACTAATCATCAGAGAGATGCAAATTAAAATAAACCTGCTAGAATGGCTGCCATCAACAAATCATCAAATAACAAGTGCTGGAGAGGGTGTGGAGAAAGGGGGACTCTAGTACACTGCTGGTGGGAATGCAGACCGGTGCAGCCACTATGGAAAACAATATGGTGTTTCCTCAAAAAATTAAGAATTGAACTGACATTTGATCCAATGATCCCACTTCTAGAAATATATCCTAAGAAGCCTGAAACACCAATCAGAAAGAATATGTGTACCCCTATGTTCATAGCAGCACTATTTACAATTGCTAAGATCTGGAAACAGCCCAAGTGTCCATCAATAGATGAGTGGATTGAAAAGCTGTGGTACATATACACAATGGAGTACTATGCAGCTGTGAGAAAGAAAGATCTCGTATCCTTTGAGATGACATGGGGGGACCTGGAGTGTATTATGTTAAACAAAATAAGCCAATCAGAGAAAGACAAATACCATATGATTTTACTTATCTGTGGAATATAATGAACAAAATAAGCTGATGAACAAAATAGACTTGGAGACATAGAAAGGAGTATGGTTCAGACTGACAAACCTCAGAGGAGGGGGTTGAGAGGGAAGGATGAGATAAACCAAAGAATTTATATGACGTATGTGTAACCAATGGACATAGACAATGTGGGTGGGGGTGTGGGATGGAGAGGAGGGTGCCTAGGGGGGAAAAGGGAGAAACATCTGTAACAAAAATAAATTAATAAAAATTGCAAAAATTAAATAAAAGATAATGAAAACCAAACCACAAACTACGAGGAACTATTTGCAAATCATGTATCTTACAAAGGGCTTGTATGTGAAATATATAAAGTATTCTCAAAAATTGAATAATGAGTAAATAAATAGCCCAACTAAAAAAAAAAAAGGTGGGGGTGGTAGCACAGGATAAATGCAAAGAGTTCACCAAAAAGATATATGCATGGCAGGAAAGTGAGTGCGAATATGTTTATTAGTCATTAGAAAAATGGAGAGTAAAATATAATAGTATCCTATTAGAATTGCAAAATTAAAATAAAACCTGAAAATACGAAGTAGTAACAGGAGGCAGAGCAACTGGAACTCTCATACATTACAGATGGGAATACAATATGATACAGCCAGCTTAGGAAAAAAGTTTGGTAGTGTCTTATAAAGGTAAATATTCATTTAACATGATTCAAAAATCCCACTTCCTAGGTATTTAACCCCAAACAATCAATATACACAAAAACTCAATTAAGTCTTTGTAGTGACTTTATTCACAAAACTACAAAATTCTAAACAACTCAACGTTCTACAACTGTGAATGGATAAACTCTGGCACATCCAGACAATAAAAATACAAACTACTGCCCTGGCAGGTTTGGTTCAGCGGTTAGAGCATCAGCCTACAGACCAATGAGTCACAGGTTTGATTCCAATCAAAGGCATGTACCTTTGTTGCTGTGGTCCCCTGCCCTGGTCAGGGTTGTGTGGGAGGCAGCCAGTCAATGTGTCTCTTTCACATCAATGTTTCTCTCTCTCTCTCTCTCTCTCTCTCTCTCTCTCTCTCTCTCTCTCTCTCTCTCTCTCCTTCGTCCCTTCCTCCCTCCCACTTTATCTGAAGATAAATGGAAAAATATCCTGGAGTGAGGATTAAAAAAATATATACAAACTACTGATATACTCAGAAACATTGGTGAATCTCAAATGTATCATGCTAAATAAAGAAAGTCAATCTCAAAAGACTATATATAGAATGATTGCACTTATATGACATTCTGGGTTAGGTAAAACTATATATATATAAAATGCAGATCAGTGTTTACTAAAGGTTAGAGGGCCGAGGAAAGGGTGACTACAAGGTAGCAGTGTTAGGGAATTTGGGAAGATAATAAGACTTTTAAAATCTTGACTGTGCTATTGATTACATGATTCTCTGAGTTTGTCAAAACTCACCAAGAAGACTGAATTTTACCAAAAGTAGCTTACAAAGTGAACGAAATGGTATAAAGTTATATGAATGTGTAGAATATAAAATTCTATTATATTACCACAAACATGTAAAAACTGAATAAGTCTACAGAAAAGGCTAGAGGTTAGCATGGACAAATGAAACATTGAATAAAAAATAATAAAATGGGAAACTTTTCTCTTGGACTTTTGTTATATTTTAATAGTCTCTTCCAATATAAGAAAGTTTTAAAAATTCATTAAAAACTCAAAAACATTAAACAATTTTCATTTTTATAAAAGTTTTGACCTAATATTAAGACTTTTTCTTGTCAAAAAACACAACAGATGTTCAATCAGCTTCTTAAGTAAATTATAACTCTAAACATAATGACTGGCATAAACACTATCAGAATTCTTTAGTAAACAACCCCTCCAGACTTTACTAAAAGTATTTTAAATAGTTTGGTACAGTGAGAAGGCAATAAGGCACATATCTTAGCTTCAGAGAGCAAGAGCCTTATTGAAGCCTAAACATGTTGGAGTTGGAGAAAGCTGTTTAATTCGAATACATGTTACATTTGAAGTTCTCTCAGGATAGCTACATGATATATCCAGTAATAATTATAACTACATGATAAGTATTCTAAGGAAACACAAACCAGGTGCATGTAGAATCTCAAGATACAGGATCTCTGAGGCCTCATGAAGGAGGGAACAGGTGAATTGAGTCTTAAAAATGAGTAAGAGTTGGCTGGGTGAAGGAGGGAGATGGCATTCCAGGGGGAAGCAACAGTTCGTACAAAAGCATGAAGTGTGAGAGACACTGATACATTCAACACAGTGCAAAATTTAATTGGCAATTTGGTTCAGAGATTAGGGAAGAGCTCCAGGTTGGAAATACAGACACTGAAGAAGTTAAATTAATACGTTTAATTCATCAACACAAGAAATAATTATTCTAAAGCAATTTCACAATAAGATGGTCTTCCACATGGATCCCAAGTGAAGTGTTAAAGCAAACTTTGAACACACTTCCATTTACTATAGCACATCTTAGAATTTTGAGAAAGAAATACAGAAAAAAAATTGAGTACCTTAAGGTGTCTTGCAACTTCTGGATTAAACAGAGGTGTTTTGATATAATGTAAAAACAGTGTTGCAATTCTTTTTCTGAGCCCTTCAAGGTTATCATTCTTGACTCCTCTCATCATCAGGTCAACCTCTCTGTCAATCAATTCTAGAATTTCATGAGTCAATTTACATTCATGTTCCTATGTAAGACACAAAAATATTCAGTATAGAATTTTTTAAATCACTGTTAGTTTTTGAAATTACCACCCAAAGAAACTGAAACTAGATTCCAGAAGAAATGAAACATCACTGATAGAAGTATAAACTGGCATGACTAATTTTGGGGGGAAAATGACATTATCTAGTAGAGTTTAAATAATTTTTCTTTATTGATTTTAGAAAGGGGAAGGGAGAGGGAGAGAGAGATAGAAACATCAATGAGAAAGAACATCAACTGGCCCCCTCCTGCATGCCCACAACCTGGGCATGTGCCCTGAATAGGAATAGAATTGGCGACCTCTTAATACATGGATCGATGCTCAACCACTGCGCCACACCAGCTGGGCTATCTAGTAGAGTTTAAATGTGCATAATGTACCACCCAGCAATTCTACTCTTAAGTGCTTTAGAGGAATGTGCTTGTGAAGTGCTTGTTCACAGCAGCCCCAAATTAGAAACAAGCAAATAACTATTAATAAATTGATTACATAGCCCTGGCCAGTTTGGCTTAGCAGTTAGAGCGTCGACCTGCGGTCCAGAGAGACCCAGGTTTGGTTCCCACTAAGGGCATGTACCTTGGTTGCAATTTGTCCTCGGCCCTAGTTGGGTCATATGTGCAAGAGGCAGCCTTCGATGTGTCCCTTTCATACCGATGTTTCTCTCTCTCTCTTCCTCTCTCTCCCTCCCACTCTATCTGAACAAAAAATGCAAAAATGTCCTCGGGTGAGGTTAAAAAACATTTTTTTAAATTAATAAATTGATTACATAAATAAGTGATGGCTTATTCATATACCAGAATATGATCTAATGTAAGGCAATAAATGAACTACAGCTATATACAATAATTTTAACTTTCAATCTTACCAGTTAATGTTGAGCAAAAGAACTGAGGCACAAAATAATACATATAGTATCATTCCATTTAAATAAAATCCAAAAATAAGCAACACTAACCATATTTTTCAGAAATATATACAGAAGTGGTAAAACTTAAATTAAAAAATCAATCAAAGAAATTACTACTATGAAAGTCCATATGGTAGTTACTTATAGGGGATAACAGTTGAACTGCCATTATGAAGAGAAGCTGGGACACTGGCAATGTTAGTACTATCCTGTTCTGCATCCAGAGAGTGGTTGCAGGATTGATGGCTTTATACTTGCTAAACTGCACATATATATTTATATGTGTTATCTGCATGTTAATATAATTCACAATAACTTTTTTTTTTGTACGTGCCCCTAGCGGGAACCGAACCCAGGACTCTCTGGTCCGCGGGCCAACGCTCCAACTGCTGAGCCAAACCGGCCAGTGCTAATTCACTATAACTTTAATAAAGTAATAGAAATGAGTGTGGTTGAATAAGAAAACCCCAGGCAATAGTTAAGTGATGAAGGTAGACGAATTTATAAGTAGTCAAATAGAAGTAAGTTGCTCCAACTGCCCAACAGAGGACCATGAGAAACATAGTTTGAATGACTGAATCAGAAGGTAAAATCAGTAACTGTAAAATAATACTCTTTTGTACTTTTTTATACATCCTTGGCTTAGCTAATACATGAGTCTGCATCAGTGGTCCTTGACCCTGAAGGCACATTAGAAGGACCTGTGGGAGAGTTTAAAAGATTTTTAACATTGATCTCACACTTGAGGATTTAATTTAACTGCTCTGAAACAGAGCCCAGATATTATTTCTAATCACTTAATCTCATATCCACTGTGTGTGTGTGTCTCCTTCTCTCTCTTTAAGCTCTCCAGATGGTTCTAGTGCATACTCAGATTTAAGATACACTGGTCTGTATTAGTAATTGTCATCAAAATGATACCTATTCTTTATTGAAGACTCCCTATTTGTAAGTACTGAGACATACAGATATTTTTCATTTTATATATACATATAAAATGTACACACACACATATTCTCAAAGCAACTCATTTTATAAATTAACTGAAACTGATTTTCAAAAATATTAAATAACTTACCTAAGGTTGCAGAGCCATAAATGAATAGAGCCAGAATTTGAGTCATGCTTAAAGGCCTCAATCCTCCATAATATTGTTAAATAAAAGTAAATGTGGATAATAGCTTAAACATACTGTTTAATAGATGCACAATTTATCTTTTATGAGCCACACTTTGGCTTTCTTAATTAAACAGAAAATGGCCCTAATTATGTCAGATAAGAGAATTTCTACTATATTCCCCCCTGCACTCCCTTTTTAACAATTTGGTCTTTTTAGTGACTACTATGGATATCATGCTTATGTCCTACCTCTGGATCTACTGCTTCTCCCTCTCTTCATAACTATCTCTGTAGTCCAAGGCTAGACACTGCACAAGCATCTTTGAAAGGGTAGTCTAGAACAAAGGCACTTAATGCCTCTTCCCTCATGATGGGCAGAAATGTGAGAGACCTATGAAAACTTATCTCCCAACAAGAACCACTTACTCAACTATTTAATGTGTCATAAGAATTTTATGTGTTTTGGTCTTTTTCTTCTCAACAGAATAAGACTTCTTTGCAGTTAGGAAGCAAAGAACCCACACGAGGTATCTAAGAGTTTTACTCATGACATTTTTAGATTATAATCACATGATTCACCTAGAGGTGGGGAACCATTTTTCTGCCAAGGACCATTTGGATATTTACAACATCATTTGAGGGCTATACAAAATTATCAACTTAAAAATTAGCCTGCTAGGAGATTCCAAAATTGCGGCAGTGTGAATGAAAGTTACACAGACCATCTCCCAGGACCAAACTGGATTTACAACTAAAATAAAGACAGATTGTCAAGAAAACAAGGGAAAAGCAGCTGGAGAGGATCCATATAACCAGGGACAGGAAAAAAGAACATTCAATTGAACCTGGGAGGTCTGCAGAGGCACAAGAGGGCAGGCTGGGAGCCCACAGACAGCATCTGATTTAGTTGTGAGCAGGTCGGGGGTTAAAATCCCAAGCCAGCTCTACAGCCCAGAGGGCTGGGACAGAGAACTGAATATTAGCTACAGCCACTCACCTTGGGCTCTGGCAGAAGGAGAGCGAACTGAACTGAAACTGTGTGAGGACACCCTGGATTTGGAGGGCACTCAGAGTTTTTGCTGAGTCACGGCCACACAGGACAGTGGCCATCTTGCTCAAGGAGCCCCTCCCCAGAGCTCTGGGGAGAAGCACCAGCAACTCCCTCAGGTATTTAACCCCACCCAGCTGGGCCAGAGAAATGCAAATTGAGGCTCAGTAACAACCAGTATCTGCTCCACCCTCTGGAAATCCTCTTACACTGAAAACCTGAGGGAGTTTTTCATTCCACTGAGGGCTACCAACCCAAGGCTCTTCAAGTAACCAAAACTAATTAATAGCCTTCAGGCAAAATTCTAGAGGATAACTGAACTTTTGCTGGGCTTGCAAATCTACCCAGGAAAGTAAGACTTGACAGTGGTGTTATGGCCCCTTCCACAATCATCCAAACCCAGTAGAGGGAGCCACAAACAGCAGAACACCAACACCCACAGGGAAATTTGACAGGCTTCAAAACCCACTGAGATAGTCAAAATAGTGAATCAAAGAAACAAATCCCAAATGAAAGAACAAGAGAACACTACTGAAGATGAGATCAATGAAATGCAGTTAAGCAAGTTATCAGAGGAAGAGTTCAGAGCCATGATCTTGAGGAAGCTCAACAGCATGAGTAAGGACATCAACACCATGAGTCAAGACATAGATACACTGAAAACCAACCACCTGGAAATGAAGAATGACGTAGCAGAAATAAAAAACACACTGGAAGGAATCACCAGCACAGTAGAGGAAGCTGAGGACTGGATCAGTGAATTAGAAGACAGGGTAGAAAATAATCCACCAATCAGAAAACCAAAAAAAAAAAAAGCTATTAAAAAAGAGGAAAATAGCTTAAGAGAACTGTGGGACAACTGGCTACATAACAACATTTGCATCATAGGAGTTCCAGAAGAAGAAAATGAGCAAGGGTTAGAGAATATATTTAAAGAAATAGTAAGAGAAAACTTTCCAAACTTGGTGAAGAAAGAAGGCATTCAAGTTCAAGAAACACAGAGAGCCCCAAGTAAGAAGAACCCTAACAGACCCACACCAAGACACATAATAATTAAAATGCCAAAAAGTAAAGACAAAGAGAGAATCTTAAAGGCAGCAAGAGATAAGCAACAGGTTACCTACAAAGGAACTCCCATAAGACTAACAGCTGACTTCTCAACAGAAACACAATAGGACAGAAGGGAATGGCATGAAGAAATCCAGGTCATGAGAAACAAGGATCTGAATTCAAGACTACTCTATCCAGCAAGGTCAGCATTCAAAATAGAAGGTCAAATAAGGAGCTTCCCAGACCAAAAAAAAAAGGCTAAAGGAATATATTAGCACCAAACCAGAACAGCAATAAAGGTTAAAAGGACTGCTGTAATTTGTAGAAGAAATAGGAAGAAAAATGTAACCACAATAAACAAAAATGACAATAAGTAAGTACATGCTTACATATTAATAATAACCTTAAATGCAAATAAACTGAATGCCCCAATCAAAAGACACAGAGTAGCTGATGGGATAGGAAAGCAAGACTCATATATATGTTGTTCACAAAAAACGACTCACATAGGTTGAAAGTGAAGGGAAGAAAAAATATCTTCCAAGCAAGTGGAAAGAAAAAAAGAGCTGGGGTAGCAATACTCATATCTGATCAAGTAGATTTCAAAATGAAGGCCATAACTAGAAACAAAGAAAGCTACTACGTAACATTGAAAGGATCTATTCAACAAGAAGATATGACCTTGGTAAAAGCACCAAAATATATTAAAGATTTTCTGGAGGACTTCAAAGGAGAAATCGACAGCAATATGATCATAGCAAGAAACTTCAACACCCTGCTGACATCACTGGATAGATCCTCTACACAAAAAATTAGCAAGGAAACAGAGACTATAAATGAAGCACTAGAGCAAATGAA